GTGTAGTCCCAGCCACTCAAGAGGCTGAGGTGGAAGAATCACCTGAGCCCAAGAGGTTGAGGCTGTGGTGAGCCATGATCATGACACTGCACTCCAACCTGAGCAATAGTAAGACTCTGACTCAAAATGAATAAATTAATAAAATAAAGTTGGAAATGTGTTCATCCAAGATTGTTTGAACACAGAATAGACTCTAATTACAATATTGAGACAAGCTGCAATGCTATCTCTTTGGTTGTTTTTTATATCTTCAAGCCTCTGCTAATGATACCATTTGTCTCATCACTTTAAAAATTATTATACATCCTATGACTATATAGTTATTTATAACAAACATCGCTATTCAAGACAAAAACCGAATCAATTAGTAATTATTTATTAAACATCTACTATTATTAGATGTCCTCAGGTCATTACTTCTAAAGAGAGATAGTCACATACTGGACACATTCCTAGGAAGATGACAACTATAAATAAAAGAACTATAAGCCATCTCTAGAAAAAAAGATCAACCAAATAGCTAACATTTAGTTAATAATCCACTGTAAGCGCTTACCACATGCTAAGTGTCATGTGGAATTTTTAAATTCATTGTTACATTTAATCTCCAAAAGAAACTTTATGAAGTAGATGGTATTATTTGACAAAGAAACTGAAACACAGCTTAAATAACGTATACAAACTAGAAAATAAATAATCTGAGGGTCTCATCTCAATGCCAATGCTTTCAAACACTATGCTATGATGAATGTCAGAGATTTAGGTATTACACCCAAAGAAGGGAGAGAGAAAGATAATGTGGCTTTCAAATGCTGTAGAATCAGTAGGTAGACTTGATGCAAGTTATTTCATGCAGAGATTCATGAATCATGGACAGATGTGATAGATTTATCTTCATTGTAGAAAGGAGTTGTGTAATTATTAGAAAATGTACATCAATGAAATAAGCGACCTTATGATATAATTATCTCATCACTGGAAGTAATCAAGAAGATGTAAAGAGAACCATCTTTCAGGTATATCATTAAGGATATTGTCAATTTGAATAAATTAAGAAACTTGCAGTTTTGTATAATTATAAGATTATTTGATTTTATTTATACTGAAGACTTTTCAGTGAAACTGACCTAACACAATAAAAGTAAAGCTTTAAATTAATGACAGTAATTCAACTAATCCCTTTAGCAAAACCTGTTATGAATATGTCCATAGTAGTTACAAAAATAGTAACAATAGTATTACTATTGTAATACCAAGACTATTGTCAAAGCATTTTCAAAGAAAAGAAACACACGTGGAAGGTGTCTAGATACCTTTCAAACAGGGTCTCACAGGATAGAAGCGGCCTATTGGGATGTCTTAGCAAGTATACCACAGTGTTAATAATAACTAATTTACTGTGCATTTGTTATATACTGGAATTGTATCAAAGGATCTGCATGTATTATCTCTTTCAATTCTTACCAAAAATTTATTAAGCAAGTAATATATCCCTCATTTTGATAGGTTTCAAAGAATGTAAGTAACTTAGACAAGGTAACAAGTTAGTTAATGGCAGAACTATATCTCAAATCCAGAATGGTATGACTCCTCCACTTGAGTTAAACAGAAAAACAAGATCATTACTAGTTCTGATGCTCAAATATTCATTAATAACTAATATCAACAGTCATTTATAGTTGCTCTAGTTTTTTCAGTGCACTTTTATGTTGTTTCAATTAATTCACAAGAACTGTGTAAGGTGACTTTTCTTAACCCCATTTTACAAATAAGGAAATTGAAATTCAGAGCATTTGTGACTATTGAAGTTACATACTAGAAGAGCCCAGGCATTTACAAGCTTAGCTCTCTTTCCACTGTATCATTGCTGCTTCCTAAAATGACCCCATACAAAAAGCAGCTGTTCTTGTATGAGAGAAGAATTATTAATAGATTCATCTAGAGACTTGGAAAAGTCTTCTGTAAACCCCTATAGTTATTACTGTTTTTATCTTATATTCCCTGACAAAGTTATGGTCACAAAATGTAATGAGATAGAGAGGAAGTTAGAGAAACAAAGAAAAAGAGACAGAAAGCTGTCCAATTCATGTTCTATTTCTTATAGAGTAAACCCTACCAGAAAGTTTGATATTTCTCAAGAGAGCTCTCTTGCTATGTAAACTTTGCATTATATTTGCATCATCTTTGATTCAATTAGAGAAAACTGTCTCATTTAGTTCATTCTTTTTCCTACTCAAGGTATTCAAGTAAGTCACTGACATATTTCAGCAACAACTGATTTCTCCATTAATCTTTCAACAAAATGTTCTGATTATAAATAGCAAGGCTAAGACTAGGCATTCTTGATCCAGTGGCGGGTGCTTTTTTTTTTTTTCTTCTTTGCAGGATGAGGGTCTGGGGTGTATCATGGTCATGAGTTTCTACCCTTATCTGCATAACTCAGTGGAGAATAATTGGATTGTAAGCCAAAAATTGAAAGGAGTAGGATGATAGCAACTTACTGGGTGACACAATTCTTAAACTGCTATTTTCTCTTCTTTCTTTCTTCCTCCCTTTCTTCCTTTCTATCCTATTTTTCCTAGTGGAAAACTCCTTGACTTCCTAAAAATTTAATGGTTTCTGTGAAGAAGATGTGATCCATGTAGTAGAAAAAATTA